CCCCAAAACCCCAAAACCCCAAAACCCCAAAACCCCATACCACACCTTTTCAATTGAATTCTTTTCTCCAGAAGTGCATGTGCCAGATGATCAGGTTCTTTCACTTGAGATAGTGCTAATTGAGTTTTCAGGGCTTGTTTAGTTGAGTTAAATACACCTTCCTTTTTTATTTCATGATTTCAAATGCACCTTGTTTTCTCCATATTCAGGTCAAATGAGTAGTTTGATATTTTCCTGATTAAGGAATTTTTACAGGAACCCTAAAACTATGACAGTGTGCCTAAACTCTCTCTTGAGACATCAGTCCGCCTTCAGCATTGATAATCTTTTATTTATATAGAGTTCTCAGAATTATTTCGTTTTATTATCATTCTCATAATCATAGTTGAGCTTAGTAGCCTAATCTCTCACCCTTTCAACTTTTGTCTGGAATTATTCAAAATTTATCTCTTTTCTTCCAATCATCGTTAGAATCTTAAGCTTCACAGAATTTTTTGCTTTCTTAGAACAAATGGGATTTAACTCTAAATTTTTTAGAATTAAGTCAAGTTATTATAAAGAAAGAGATATCATATTTGACTTTGGAAGAGCCAAGTCATTCCTTTTAATATTTAGATCTCAAAACATCTTATCTCGATTATTTTCTAGGATTCATCTAACAAGCCTCAGAACTTTATGTGCTCAACTAAGTTACCTAATGCTACATTTGGAGATCAAAACATAAATTCCCTAAAAACATTCCTGTTTTGTATCCTCTCAATTTAATTACTAGACAAATAATCAGCAGCTTGAATTTCATTCAAAAGGAGCTTAATTAGATTCTCAATCCTGAGCCCATCGACATATGAAAAAATTCAGAAAATTACTTCAAAATCTCCAAGAACCAACGGAGCATGAGTTATCTCTTTGCTCTCTAATAACTTCAGCTAAGAAATTCCCGGAGTGTCAAAAAGAAATGACAGAAATATGATCCTTTGACTGTTGAAAGGTAGCAGGTTGTAGCTTTCAATCTAGCTTTGACATCTAGTCTACCAATATTATAATCCACAGTTCTTATGAAGAAAGTAAATTAACAAAAGTTTTAAGAATTGGGCGAATTTATCAAAAACAGATCTTGTAGGTTTGTTATGACAGATCTACTTATGAGTGCTATCAACCAAGTACTGCACTTTTGATGCCCATTAAACTATACTAGTTTGCTTTTATATAGCAAGGTAGATATAACTTCAGAATATTTAAACCCAATAAGTTCTTTCACAGAAGGACGTTCAGAAACAAACCACACATCTGAATCAGATTTTTTAAATAAAACCCCTTTCAATACATCTCTAATTTAAAGGGGTTTTGGGGTTTTGGGGTTTTGGGGTTTTGGGG